TGGTTTTAAAACACATTTTTGCTAAACCTATTCAAATTAATAAATATTTGCCAGGCAATATGGCCGCTCGCAATCTATATACCTATATATCTATCATTGACCCTGTTAATGACAACATGACAACAGGGTTGCCATATCTAAACTGTCAGTCCCCACTGGTAGCCATTTGGACAGGTCGTTGGAATGCCTAATTGTACGTTGAAATAATTTAACATGCCGTTTGCATTTCTAGTTGGTTAACCATTATTTTGACATATGACGTTTGCTTTTCTGATTGGTCAACCATTAGTTGTCGCCCAATATCAAATGGATATGTAACTTAGCCTTGCATGTAGCATTGGTGGTGAACACGGTGTACTAAAATGACATAATAATTAAAGCGTCAATTTTAAAAAATGTGTCAAAATGTGCAAATTAAAATCATGCTTTTTGTAATAATTATTAAACATACAGCCTTCATATTGGAAAAGTTAATAAAAAATGATAGAGAATTCATTGAAAATAATTTGCTTATTAATTCTTGCAATAAAATTTTTAAAGTTTTTAATGATAATGTCAAATTATGATTAGTTATTATGGAATATTTTCACGTTCAATTCATTCTTACAACATTGCTCTTGACAATTATATCGCAATTTGTAATTTGTAATTTTTCTTTATTATAAAAAGCATGATTAACTAACGCTTTGTTAAGTGACAGAAACGGCCGCCATTTTTAGTCCATTTCCCAGCCTTAAGAATCGGCAACAATGTATTTTTTATTCATTCTATAATCCCGCACCTGTTTGAAGGTCTAGCCACACCATTTCTGGTGCTAAATCGAGCATCCAATCAAATATAGTAATTTTGTAATTAGAAAAGCAAACCGCCGTGATTACGAAATCCTGTAGGAATCCAAATCGAATTAGATTTACATGGACCCCGATATCCCCCATATTTATACCCCTCCTGCAACATCCGATCGATCTCAAATTCTATTTAAGTTTGTGGTTTTTCATTATGGATTAATCTGACGACAAATTAGAAATTCACCATCACTTTCCTTATCTGTAATTAGCACTTTCTAAAACTAATTTAGGAGTAAACTCATTTCCAGAGCCCCGAATTTTCTTGGTGCCGTGTTTATTAAACATTTTCATACAAACGAAGGACCCATTATTTGGTATTAAGTAATTCCAGTTACTAGAAAAAACGTTTTCACGTACAAACATTATAGATACTAGGATTATGAGTCCTTGAAAAGTTTTTGACCGCTTTTTGAGATCAAAAAAATACAGTGTGTCTCGTTTATAAATAAATTCTTGTTATTCACTTTTTCGAAACTTTCTCCCTATTTGAAGTCATTTAATAATTCTTTTAGACAATGCTGTATGTACATTCTAAAACCTCAGAATACCTCAAATAAACAAATAATGATAAGTACGAGACACCGTTTAACGAATCTAAGGTACTTGCGGTCACTATCTAAAATTGTGACATTTGCGCCCTAACCTTCTTTTGGAGCTTACCTGCTTTTTAAAAAGAGTCAAGTTAGTGGCAGTTGCGCCCTGTTTTTATTTGCGATAGGTAGTAGGTGGGTAAACTTAAAATTTCTGCGATACATTTTTAGTATTCTAAATTTTATTATTTTTACTATGGTGAATCACTGGAAGATGGGCTATAACTCCCTCAATAAAGTTTCTAATTATGTATTTCTTTTAATTTCTTGTATCTCTGATTAAGAGCTGTTAGCGACCGTATCTCAGAATAATAATTACAAAAAAAAAAAATATAAAAACTGGGCGATTTTTATTTCAAATGGGACACCTTTTCATTATATCCTTAATTTTCATATGTTATTCTTCTCATCTCCGCCACTCTGACTAATATAATTTAGATAGGGAAAGTACCAAGAAGACGCATCATCGAAAAGATCATTTAAAGAGGAATTGTGAATTCAGCAATACCTATTACTATGCATTGGATTACTTATAGTTTTAGCGCCAGTTACGTATTTTAAAGTGTGACATTTAATTAAAACGATTATTTTATTAGTAATTCAACACATAATATTATGTTAGCTAAATCAAGGATGAACTATATATTTAGTTTAATGTTATGTGGTGAATCGTTACTACTAAAAAAAATAGCTTTCAAATGAGGTGTCACACTTAACAAGAAGTGACCATTTTTTATCATGCTATTGGGAGCTAAAATTAAAAGTAGTGCAAAATAACCTTTTCTTTAATGTTTTATACCTATACACCTATTTAATGAGGTTAAGGGTAAAACCCTCGTAAAATCTTTTAAATAAAATCCAGGAAATAACTAATGTTGTATACCTGTTTAATAAAATTAAGAGCAATTCAGTCCCTTCTGATGTCACACTGCACGGATCTAACGACCTCCCCTTAAAGTATTTCGAACCTTGTTCGCTACATAAATTTGGCAATGTTGTGTGTCGTGTGCTGAAGAATAATCATATTGTGTAGGTAATCGTATTGGGTAGGGTCCGATTCCGATTACATGAACACAGGTATGACAGCAATTGGCGAAGTAATTCGTTAGCTATCGCCACCTACTGGGGGTTTAGTGGCTTGTTAATATTATAGGAATGTAGGAATAATATTTTTAAACCAAACAACTACAATATTTTTTATTTATTGATAGTTATAGATGATATAGAGGGTGTCCCGAAATTAGACGGTCATATTTTAACAGCGTAATCTACATCCTAAAATAGTAGTAAAAGTTCATGTAAACATAGATCCGAAAACTTTTCTTTTCCGAGATACAGGGTGTTAAAGGTGACGTCCTGATACCACACTTTTGTAAATATTTTCTAAACGTTTAAAGATAATTAGGTAAAACTTGGTACAAATACTTACCTTTTTACGCTCCATTTATTGGACTAAACCCCAGTTTTTGATCATCTTCTTAGGTGGGTAAATTAGGGGAAGCTTAGGAAACTTAGGAGCTAAAGATCTAATGAACTTGCTTACCGATAGTTTAATCAATAACGATATTTATAACGACCAGAATATGAAGAAGAGTCAGAATTTCAGGAATCCGAAAGTGAAACTGAAGAAGTAATTGAAGAGCCTAATTATAATAATTTTTTTGTTGTTACCATCAGACAATTGGCGAAAAAGCTTCAAAAATCTGAAAAGTTATTAGTAAAATTCCGAACTTGTTGTGAGACAGCAAATATTGATTATCTCATGCCTGTAGTTGGAACTTCAATCTTCAAATGCTTTTATGGGCCCTACACGGAAAAAAATGTGACTAGAAAATTTTACTACAATGTTGTAGTAGTAGACTTGTAGAAAAATACCTAACTTTTTGTAGAAAATTTTACTACAATTTATAGTTAAAAACTATTCATTATTGTAGCAATTGAATTGTGGAATAAAATGCTACAATAATAGGAAAGAAGACCACAATGTTTAGTATATTTTACTATTGTTTGTAGAAGTAGAAATATATTACAATTATCGTAATTACTACTACAAACTTCTGTAAAAATTTGTACAAATATTAATAATTATCTCTACAAAAAATAGTAATTTTCTCTACAAAAAATAGTAATACTTTACATCCCTTCTTATGAAAAAAAATCAATTTTGTTCAAAAATATTCTATAATATTGTAGAAATTCTAAGTCATGTGAATAAAACAGAATTCTGCTATTGGCCAACGTTTTTTAACGTCGACCATAAATGGCCAGACAGCAGTAGCCGTTCGCCATGTTCACAAAACAAAGCATGGTACATAATATAACACATTGTCATATTATAAGCACCGATGCGTTTGAGAAAATTTTAATAATAACTTCTATTAGTGGTAAGTACATTTATTATTGTTTCTGAATAATTTACCTTTAGATAACTAATTTAAATTACCTTAGTAGAATATTTTAATAAATATAGTTGTGGCCAACGATCGAATGTTGTACCCAACATTCGAATGTTGTGTCAAGTTCAATAATATTTTTTTGTCTTAATTGTGACATACCTACTTTCTCATTTTTGTTAGTTATCTGACGTAGTCATTTAATATGCCAATCAGTGTAAAGGTGATAAATATCCCGTTTTAAGGTTATGAACAGTTCAATAGGTATTTATTTTTATTTCATATTTTTCAGGTGCAGAAAAGCCAACTGAGACTGAGGGAGCTATTAATACTGTTATTTATTACATAATGTAATTAAGAATTTGTATCCTTTATATTAAAACAATAAATTTTGAATATTTTATTAAAGAACATTTTTTCTAGGTTATATTTATAATAATTATGGAATACTACTACAAATTTTATTAAAAATTACTAAAATTTGTATGAATTTTTACTACTTATTGAGTAAAATTTTCGTATTAATTTTCATGAAACGCAATACATTTTTAATATAAATTCATACGATGAATAGCAAAAATTATAACAATTTGTAAAACAATTCTTACGATGCATTTGGATATTTTTACTACATATTGTAGATAATAACTCTACAATACATTCTCTACAAATATTTGGAAATTTTTACTACAAATTGTCCCTGTCCCTATATGTACTATTTATTGTAGAGAAAAAATATATAATTGTAGAAATTTGTTCTACAATTTTTTTTCCGTGTAGCATGTAAATCAGCACTTAAAATTTTGTGCGACAATAATACCAAACTGACAAAATTTAGGGTCTCTGAAGAATCATGGAATCTTTTAAGGGATGTTTTAAAGTATTTAAAACCGTTTAATACCCTGACAAATATGTTCAGTGGTGATACCTTTTGCACGATTTCGACAGTAGTAATCGGTATAAACTTATTGTTAGATAAATTAGAGTCGTGGGCGAAAACACTCGATGAAAAACCGGAAAGAATAACTACAGATGAAAATATTATTCTGGCACTGAATGCCTCAAGAGATAAAATACTGAAACACTACAATAAATCAAATTGGATTTATTGTGTTTCAATAATTTTAGATCCTCGACATAAAAAGGAAACTTTTAAACATACTAATTAGGGCAAAGATTTGCAAGATATGTCTGTGTCGACATTTGAAAATATGTATAGAGATTTATATTACCAGGACGATGAAAGCTATACCATCACTGCAGACAAGAATGACAGAAATAATAAAAATAATATTTTAGATGAGGTTGACGATGATTTTGAAGTAGGTTTAAGTTCACTTTTTGCAAATATATCTGAAGAGGAACTTACAGAACCATGGAGAAAGGAATTGGATGAATATTATAACAGTCCAAGAGCTAGGGAAAAGACAGACGTGATTAATTGGTGGTGGAAAAATGAGAAAACTTTCCCCAATTTGTCAAAAATGGCAAGAGATATTTTATCCATTATGTCCACCTCTGCACCATCGGAACGACTTTTCTCGAAGGCAGCCCTTTTGATTACCAAACATAGGAATCGCTTGACTAACTAGTCAAGTAGAAGTCAGTTGTACCTGAATTCTTGGCTGAGTAATTTGTTATTTAAAAAGTATTTCGACTAATAAACAGGTTCCATTTTCATTATTATTCGAGGGGCAAATCACTCCCGCAATACGTGTACAAAATGTCCGCAATCCCATTGAAAATCACCGCAGTCTCATCAAAATCAGTGACAATCGCTAAGAAATCGCCGCAGTCGTTCCGAATTCGCTCGCAGTCGTTCCGAATTCCCTTGCAGTCCCCCGAATTCTCTAGCAGTCACTGAGCAATCACTAGCAATCGTTAAAAATCGCGCGCAGTAAGGTGACATTAACCAATAGAGGACTTCTATACAAGGGAAGTGCAACCAACTTGACAAAATAAAATTGACACTAATGACATAAGAAATCGGGTCACATAAAGAGGCTGTTTTTTTGTTCAATTTTTGGTTTTTCTTATATACTTTTATGCCATTTACATACCATGTTGTACCCGTAACGTAAAAAAGACTTTTTATTTTAGGGTATTTTACATTTAAAGGTTGAAGACATCTATCAATATCAGCTGTCGATAATGTCAAAACATAAGCGTAGCATTGCAATTTATTTTTTTATTGTTAATAGTCTATTTGTGTTTCACCCGGTTTCCTTAAACATTTTTTTCATTTGGTTTTATATATTTATGTCAAATGCAAAAATGCTGCTGCTACAAATACAAGTTCCATACACTATACAACCATATACAATACTAGTTACGTTATGCCCATCTATGGTTACGCCTGTGTTCTACCAACAACATAATTGACAGCTGACACTGACTTTAGATGTAAAATACCCTAAACTTAAAAGTCTTTTTTACCTTACGGGTACAACATGGTATGTAAATGGCATAAAAGTATATAAGAAAAACAAAAAAGTAAACTTAAAAACAGCCTCTTTATGTGACCCGATTTCTTATGTCATTAGTGTTATTTTTATTTTGTTAAGTTGGTTGCACTTCCCTTGTATAGAAGTCCTCTATTAGCCATTGTTGATGTAGGGTGCTTTGATTAAGCCATCTAAACCATTTTGTGTAAAGAAATTGCAGTTTACATTTTGAGGCAAGAACTATTAAGTTAAATTTACATTTTGGAATTTGAAGGTTTTTTTAGGATAAATTTAGACAATAAATCTACTTGTATACAAAATTTTACAAGGTGGTCAAAAATTGTCCCTTTTCATCTAGTTTTTTTTTTAATATATAACAAAATTGTTGGTATTTTATGGGGGTTGGGGTGATACACGTTTTAATTAGGGTTTTAAATGTATTTTTACTTTCCTATCTGTTTACAGATAAGGAAAGTATAGGAATCATGATTTTTTTCGACGGTTTTTTATGTTTTGGGTTATCCTGAATCTGTTTTGACTATTTTCGCGATGATGTCTGTGTGTGTCTCTGTATCCTCGATAACTCATGAACGGATACAAAGAAAAACACCAAATTTTAAACTTAAGCTTTATTCCGGCGTCCAATTAGCAGATTATATTTTGGGCAGAGTCGGAACATTTGAAGGGTACTTTATAGTCATCATTTTTATATTTTATGGAATATATCTGTTATTTACGTTTGGAGAAGAAATTTTTTCAAATAAAAGTTACTTACAATATTATTATCTATAATTTGTTTTATACAAAATTTGGTCCGTATTCGAGAAATTTGACAAAATGTAAAAAAAAATATTTTTTTATAAAAATTGTTCAAATAAAAGTTGTTTGTAATATAATTCTCTATAATTTTTGCCCTATACATAATTTCTCTAAAATGGACCGTATTCGAGATATTTAAGAAAATGTATAAATTTCGAATTTTAAAGAAAAATCAAAAACGGATAAAGTAAAAAACATTAAATTTTAAACTTAAGTTTCCATACATGATGTAGATAATGAAAAGAGCATTTTTTATGGATTAGAAGATCTTAATATAAAGGATATACGAAATTACTACACAAAAAGTGATTCTGATACCTCATTTTTAAACATAATTGTGAACAACAAAAAAATGAAGGTAAAAAAATCAGTTCTTTGTTGGTTATTTTCCACTGAAGATGGGCGCTTGTCAACTGATAGATTATCTCGTGTAAAAGGAACATCCTCAGCAGTACTAAATAACAAAAACAAAACAAGTCCAGAAAAAACACAGCTAAAATACCAAATAACTACAATGACAAAGATGTAACAGAAAGTGAAAAACTACCGGTGAAAACACTTTGCTCCAGAAAAATATCAATGGCATTTTAATTAGGAACGAACAATATTACGCAATTCTTTACGAGTCGTGGTACATAGGTCGGATTTTTCAAATAATTGATGAAACCACTAGTAAAATAAAAATTTTAAAATCTGAACTTGAAGAATATTTATGGCCAAAAAAAGACGACATTCAAATTGTTAAAAATAAATTAATATTTTACGGACCCATCAATTCAATTGGATCTGGTCCATTTAAACTAGAAACAAACATCAATAAAATTTGTAAACGTCTAAAAAACACTTTTATGAAATTTTTAAATAAAAAACCTCCAATTACTTAATTTCTTAACTTGTTTTATTTACCTGTACCTATTTGTTCATTTAGGCATATCAAAGATATCTAATAATGGAGGCATGTAGGTACCTACTTAGAAGTTTCGGGTATCACATCAATTAAAACTGATCTTCTGAATGAATAAAAAACGTACAAAAAGTTGATTTATTGATAAATTTGTCGTACACACTTAGTTTTAAATCAATGCATTGTATTTAGCACCTATACATGCGCTATACAAAATTTAGTTTTTCTGATGAAACACCTATAGCTAATGCCTTTTTTACTGGAAACCAACTGGTAAGCCATACAATATCGTAGAAATCCTTCGGAATGCGTGCAATTTTGCAATAATACTGACAATCCATACGTACGAGTAAATCGCCGCAATCAATAGGGAAATTGCCGCAATCAATAGAGAAATCGTTGCAGTCAATACATAAATCACCGCAGTCACGGGAAATCTGTCGGAAGTCATGTGGAAATCACCGCAGTCATCCAGAAATCGCCGCAGTCATCTAGAAATCGCCGCATTCATCCAGAAATCGCCATATGATTGCGGAAATCATATGAATTCGGCAATACATGTACATTTTTACAAAGAGTGATTTGCCCCTCGTTATTATTATTTTTTTTTTCAATTAAAATCTTGTGTTAAATATTCTTATTCTTACACTTCAAGTAAACTGCTAAAATTTTAATAAACAGATTTTATTTACAAAAAGTTAACTTTTTTAAGAATCAAGAGTTCTTGATTCTTGACAAGACTTCTTGATTCTTGACAAGATTTCTTGATTCTTGACAAAAATTTCTTGATGCCTGATGATTGACTCTTGTTTTGTTCTTGTCTTGTCTTGATTTTCAAAATCAGACTCTTGTCTTGATATTTTCTTGAAATCATGACAAGAACTCTTGACTTCTTGATATTTTTCCAACACTATACCTGATATCGGAACGCAGTGAGTGACATTTGTAATTTATGATATCGGAACGCAGTGGAATAATATATCAAATGTCAAGACAATGTCAAAAATTCAAAATATACTGTATCATGTATAATGTGTTAAACTTTCATTTAATATTAGTCTCACACTAAATAACAACTCTAATATTTTGTTTCTTTTGTTTCAGGTAATGTTTCGAAATACTGATAACGTGTTCGTAAGTAAACATAATTGTTGATATATTTTACTATATACTTTTATTATTTTACTATATATCCTCAACCGAAATCTGAAAAAATTTTCTTCTAAAACCATTGAAGGCATATCCGAGGTCCTACCTCAAAAAATACACATGAAGATGTTGAGACAAAAAACCACTTTAATCAAACTATTAATCAAAAATCCTTTAGTGCTGATATGAGACAAAAGATTGTTATTAACTATATTATATTTTAGTTAAAGAGCAACAGGGGAGTTTTTGTACTCTACTCAAAGTTTAATTGAATCCAGTAGTTTTTTTATTTAAGTTTTTAAGTTTTCTTCTTCTAAAAACAACACCACAGTTGTATGCTATTGAAATATTATAATAATAATACATTTCGGAAAAAAATACAATTTTTTAAAATGTACTAGGTGCTTTGTTAACTCAGAAAAACATCAAATTTATTAATGTTTTTTTCTTCTTCAAAAAACACAATGTTAGATTCTCAATATATTATTTTTAAAATTACATTTTTTTTAATATTTCTCCCTTAAAGTATGAAAATACAAAATCCCTGAAACATACTATTATTTATTTGTGATGAGTAGCTATAATTCCAATTTTCAAGTTCCTACCTATAAAAAAATCGAGACTTCCATACATATTTATTTATGTTTAGTAGCTGTATTTCAAATTTTCATGATTCACTACCCCAATGGAAAAAATCATGGCTGTCAAAAACAAAAACAAATCTATCCCACGGGAACCGTATACTTTTCCGGGATAAAAAACAGCCTATGTGTTATTCCAGATTATAATCTATCTTTGTGCCAAATTTTATCCAGATCCGTTCAGTTGTTTTTGCGTGATTGAGCAACAAACATCCATTCATCCATCCAAACTTTCGCATTTATATAATAGTACAGTTAATCAAATTTCTAGAGGTGTTCGACGCCCAGACAGAGGACGCGCTACGTGTGACTAAGATAGCTATTGTACAGTCTGCTAAACAAGTTATTTTAAATAGTTTTTAATATTTTTAGGTAATTAAATTTTAAAAGTGTGGAATAGTTTAGGGATTAAATTGGTCTGATTGGACTTTCTTAGAACGTTTTTAAAAGCAGTTAAAGATAGTATGTAGAATTAAAAATAATTATTATGCCATAAAAGGTGTTTTGGAATTCCTTCAACCTTTTGAAATTGAGTCAGAAAATATAAATTTTATAGGATAGCGGAAAATACCTATAATTTTTTTGTAGGCCTTTGTAAATCATGGAAATAGTTTATATTTTATTTCTACCTTATT